GCGAGCACGAAACATCAGACAGAGCGGCATGCAAGCACAACAACCACACAGTACAAGTGCTGCCAAGTCTTCACAGCGCCCTGGCTTCGCGTTGTGTACGTTGTGACGGTGAGGACAACCCCCTTATATTTGGTTTTCTCAGTTCTAAAAATGTGAGACGGCCCCCTTGCGGCTGCACATAGCGCACAAGCACGTTTTTGCCCGTGTGCTGACGTTGGTGCCCCTCCGATCACGACCATAAATAACGCGTTTTAATGCAGAGGGGAATAATGAAACAAAACATCTCTTCGCCCTCAATGTGAGACGAAGCGGCGCGGAGGGCAGACCAGGGGTGGCTAAGAGAGGACACTGCCGTGGGAGGAAGAGGGCCCAGCCTCAGCGGTCACCGCACAAGTCGCAGCCAAAACCACACACACACAGCCACAATGAGGTCACGAAATCATACACATCATCAAAACAATTGGACAATGTATTCGTTTTGAAGGTAGCTCGAAAATAAGAAAATTCATTGACCATTCCCTCTTTTCCGTCCAGTACTGGAAACTTTGCGTCCGGGAAGTCGCTTTCTACCCCTGCACATTCAGCAGCACTCACACAACAGTGCACTGGGATGTTGGTACCCTTAACGAACAAAAAACAAACATGGAGTAGAAGATACGAAAAAAAAAGATATTACTCATAGAGTAACGACAAGAAATCAACCCCTTACTACTCTACACGATTACCGCCCTCGAAGGGCTCTGGGGGATCTGTTGCCAATACATCGTTGCCGCTACGCTTTGGCATGCCAAGAGACGCCTCTTCACGGTCCTTCTCCGCCGTGAAGCGGGCAAAACGCAAGTGCACAAGCACAGCTGCGAAGGTTGCAAGAACATTGATGGCCATTAGGATGAACATCTGGTTCCGCACGCACATAGGATCATTGCAAGCAGGAAAAGTGCCTTGTTGATGTGCTTGTGAGTCGTACATCTCACCGAACATGAAGCGGTTCAGTGCAATTGACGCCACAAAACCAGAGGAGAAAAGGAAATCGTAGTGCTTTCCGGCGTCGCGAGCGTACATCATGCGGGCTGCTAGGACGCCTCCGCCCCAGCCAATGCCGTTGCCCATGGAGCCAAGCAAGAACGGCAGAATCAGCGCCTGCTGCGGGAGAACAGCGAAGAATAGAAACGCCACAAACAACAGGAGCGGGCCGAGGGGTAGTGCGATCGTCGTCAGCACCCGTGTTTTGCCTTCCCGATGCCGATTCATCAGAATCATGTCAAGAACCCCTACAGATATGCGCCCAATGGCGCTTCCCACAGCCATGATGGCAACGTACAGCGTCAGCGTCGGGGTGTCCACCTCACCGTAATTCTTGCTGCGGTAGATCTGCGCGGCGTTCATCTGCATGACCGCACCTGTACCCCACGCACCGAAGCAGGTAAACCAAAGCCCCCACAGGTGCAGAGAGAGTAAGTGGACCCAGAAGGAGGCACGGTACTGCGGCGCCACACGGTTCGCCACCCTCCCCGTCCCGCTCCCATCGGCATCGTCACTGTTCACTTCATCCACAGGTGCCGACCCGTCCAGCTGCTCGGTGGCCGCCTCCCCGATGCCCTCCATGTGCGTCGGCTTCACAGGCGTGTAGCGGCCCAGGAACTGGAACGGCAGCGCTATCACGGAGAACGACGCCAGCAGCACCACGGCAATGATCGCAATCGCCAGGTAGCCCCCATGAGACGTCTTCACGTACGCCGTCGTAATCGACTGAGTGGTAGAGAAGACAAGCACGGCAAGAACCAGCGCAAATCCGATCCTCAGCCGCCGCATGGGGGCACGCTGCTTCATGTAGAGCTCAAGCGTCCCAGATCGCTCGGCCCACTCCTCCGCGCTCAGCCGCTTCTTCGTCCAGTCGCACGGGAAGTACATCGGAAGCCGAATAAAGTAAGTGCCAACAAATGCGCACACCAGAGCCTGTGCACCAAGGAAGTACGCGTAGCCGGAGTAGTTGTTGTCACTGAGATCGTTAGAATCAACTGCTTTGAACCAGCCGTTGAAATACGCCATCAACACCGAGGTGCCAAGCCCACTGAACGTCTTCTGGATCATGACAACGTACCCGCGATCCATAGGGAGTTGCAGCATCAGCGGCATCACGGCAGACACATCCATGGAAGGGATGCCAAGATGTGCAATGCCCATGTAGATGGAGAAGAGCACAGTACTGGCGGTCTGGATCTTGTCATCAAATGTCAGACCAAACAAGCCAAAGCCCACGAAGACAAGAAACCCCGCGAGCGGAAGCACGACCATGGGCCCGGCGAAGTCAAACAGCATACCACCCAGGAAGCTGCAGTAATTCACACAGTTCCCAACAGTGGTGATAGTCGTGATGTCAGTTTGGGACAGACCATACTTGTTCCTCATGTGTTCAGTGAATATACTGAAGCCATACGTGGAGGAAACAACGAGTCCAGCGTATACACCGGCCACAAGCATCCGCATGCGGAACAAATCGTCGACAAGTTGCACCATGATTACACCTATGCGTCTACCACAAGCAGCAAAAAGTGGGCGAGCACGAAACATCAGACAGAGCGGCATGCAAGCACAACAACCACACAGTACAAGTGCTGCCAAGTCTTCACAGCGCCCTGGCTTCGCGTTGTGTACGTAGTAACGGTGAGGAAACACCCTTTTTTCTTTCACTCCAAAAAAAAACAAAAAAAAACTAAATGACGTTGTCGCGGCTGCACACAGCACACACACACACACACAATTCTTCCTGTTTGCTGTCGTTGGCCTCCCTCCGATCACGACAATATAAAAAACGCGTTTTAATGCAGAGGGGAATAATCAAACAAAACATCTCTTCGCCCTCAATGTGAGACGAAGCGGCGCGGAGGGCAGACCGGCTGCGCCAACGCAGGCACCCCAGTGGGAGGAAGAGGGCCCAGCCTCCGCGGTCACCGCACAAGTCACAGCCAAAACCACGCATACACATCCACAATGAGGTCACGAAAGCATACACATCAACAAAACAATTGGACAATGTATTCGTTTTGAAGGTAGTTCCAAAAAAAAAAAATTCATTTATCATTCCCTCTTTTCCGCCAGGTAGTGAAAACGTTGCGTTAGGAAAGTCGCTTTCTACCCCTGCGCATTCAGTAAAACTCACACAGCGGCGCACTGGGATGTTAGTAGTTTCAACGCACAAAAAAAAAAGCAGGGGCGAGAAGAAAGAAAAAAAGAATACTATCCATGGAGTAACGACAAGAAATCAGGCCCCTTACTACTCTACCCGATCACCGCCGTCTGGAGACTCTGGGGGATTTGTTGCCAATACATTGTTGCTGCTACATTTCGGCGTGTCAAGAGAGGCCCTTTCACGGTCCTTCCCCGCCGTGAAGCGGGCAAAACGCAAGTGCACAAGCACACCTGTGAGGGTTGCAAGAACATTGATGGCCATTAGGATGAACATCTGGTTCTCCACGCACACAGGATGATCACATTCCGGGGCCTCCGGGCGCTTGCTTGCCTCTGCGTCGTACATCTCACCGAACATGAAGCGGTTCAGTGCAATTGTTGACACAAAACCGGAAGAACATAAGAAATTGTAGTGCTTCCCGATGTCCTCGGAATACATCATGCGGGCTGCAAGGAGACCCACGCCCCAGCCACCGCCGTTGCCCATGGCNCACGCACACAGGATGATCACATTCCGGGGCCTCCGGGCGCTTGCTTGCCTCTGCGTCGTACATCTCACCGAACATGAAGCGGTTCAGTGCAATTGTTGACACAAACCCGGAAGAAAACAAGAAATTGTAGTGCTTTCCGGCGTCGCGAGAGTACATCATGCGGGCTGCTAGGAGACCCACGCCCCAGCCAGCACCATTGCCCATGGCGCCAAGCAAGAACGGCAGAATCAGCGCCTGCTGCGGCAGGACAGCAAAGAAAAGGTATGCCAAAACAAGGAGAAGCGGACACAGCGGCATTGCGATCGTCGTCAGCACCCGTGTTTTGCCTGCCCTGTGCATTGCGGTGAGTTTCAGGTCGAGAATCCCCATGGACATGCGCCCAATGGCGCTTCCCACAGACATGATGGCAACGTACAGCGTCAGCGTCGGGGTGTTCACCTCACCGTAATTCTTGCTGCGGTAGATCTGCGCGGCGTTCATCTGCATAACCGTGCCTGTGCCCCACATACCGAAGCAGGTAAACCAAAGCGCCCACAAGTCGACCGTCAGCAAATGAGCCCAGAAGGAGCCATGATACTGCGGCGCCACACGGTNTTTGCCTGCCCTGTGCATTGCGGTGAGTTTCAGGTCGAGAATCCCCATGGACATGCGCCCAATGGCGCTTCCCACAGACATGATGGCAACGTACAGCGTCAGCGTCGGGGTGTCCACCTCACCGTAATTCTTGCTGCGGTAGATCTGCGCGGCGTTCATCTGCATAACCGTGCCTGTGCCCCACATACCGAAGCAGGTAAACCAAAGCGCCCACAAGTCGACCGTCAGCAAATGAGCCCAGAAGGAGCCATGATACTGCGGCGCCACACGGTTTACCACCCTCCCCGTCCCGCTCTCATCGGCATCCTCACTGTTCACTTCATCCACAGGTGCCGACCCGTCCAGCTGTTCGGTGGCCGCCTCCCCGATGCCCTCCATGTGCGTCGGCTTCACAGGCGTGTAGCGGCCCAGGAACTGGAACGGCAGCGCTATCACGGAGAACGACGCCAGCAGCGCCACGGCAATGATCGCAATCGCCAGGTAGCCCCCATGAGACGTCTTCACGTACGCCGTCGTAATCGACTGCGTGGTAGAGAAGACAAGCACGGCAAGAACCAGCGCAAATCCAATCCTCAGCCGCCGGATGGGGGCACGCTGCTTCATGTAGAGCTCAAGCGTCCCAGATCGCTCGGCCCACTCCTCCGCGCTCAGCCGCTTCTTCGTCCAGTCGCACGGGAAGTACATCGGAAGCCGAACAAAGTAAGTGCCGACAAGTGCGCAGAGCAGAGCCTGTGCACCGATGAAGTACGCGTAGCCGGAGTAGTTGTTGTCATTCAGATCATTAGAATCAGCTGCTTTGAACCAGCCGTTGAAATACGCCATCTGCACCGACGTGCCAAGCCCACTGAACGTCTTCTGGATCATGACAACGTACCCGCGATCAATAGGGAGTTGCAACATCAGCGGCATTGCACCGGCGCCATCCAGAGCAGGGCAACCAAAAGACAGGATACCGCTAAAGATGGAGAAATGAACCGCAGTCGGGTTGGAAACGACGTAGCCGTCAAACGCCAGGCCAAACAGACCAAAGCCCACGAAGGCAAGAAGCCCCGCGAGCGGAATCACGGCCATGGGCCCGGCGAAGTCAAACAGCATACCGGCAAGAAAGGTGCAGTATCCAACACAGTTCCCAACAGTGCTGATAGTCGTGATATCGGTCTGCGAGAATCGGTACTTGTTTCTCAGATGCCCGGTGAATATACTGAAGCTGTAAGTAGAGGAAATGGCAATGCCAAGATAAACGCCCGCCACAAGCATCCGCATGCGGAACAAATCGTCGACAAGTTGCACCATGATTACACCTATGCGTCTACCACAAGCAGCAAAAAGTGGGCGAGCACGAAACATCAGACAGAGCGGCATGCAAGCACAACAACCACACAGTACAAGTGCTGCCAAGTCTTCACAGCGCCCTGGCTTCGCGTTGTGTACGTAGTAACGGTGAGGAAGCCCCTTTTTAGTATCTACTTTTTTTTTAAAAAAGCGACACCGACTCCTGGGGGCTGCACTCAGCGCACAAGCACGTTTTTACCCGTGTGCTGTCGTTGGTGCCCCTCCAATCACGACAATATAAATAATATGTATCAATGCAGAGGAGAATAATCAAACAAAACATCTCTTCGCCCTCAATGTGAGACGAAGCGCCGCGGAGGGCAGACCAGGGGTGGCTAAGAGAGGACACTGCCGTGGGAGGAAGAGGGCCCAGCCTCCGCGGTCACCGCACAAGTCACAGCCAAAACCACACACACACAGCCACAATGAGGTCACGAAATCATACCCATCATCAAAACAATTGGACAATGTACTCTTTTTGAAGGTAGCTCGAAAA